ATTTCAAAGGAATGGTTGATACCTTAAGATCCCAGGGCAATCAAAGAACGTGGAGAAGGACCTGGAGTTTATTTTAGTCCAACATGAGGAACAGCAAAATTAAAGAGTAAAAATAAAATGAGTGATTAGTTGATTTTCTTCTATAATGACCAGGCACCTTCCCTCTTCAAGGATGACAGTAAAAGACAAAATAAACTTTTTCCCTCATACAAGAGAGAAAGAGATCTTGAGAGTTAAGGCTAATAAAACCCCCCTCCAATATTTTCTCATTGATTCTAAATCACTTCCTACAGAGTATAAAAAAAAATTGGACTTGATTTTACATAATCTGCACAAATGAGATCCGCAGGGAACTAGAAAGGTTTCTAAGAGGAGCTTCTAGAAGCGAAGTTTTGTACTGCAGCCAGTTAGAAAATTGGGGAGGGGCTTTCTTTCACTTCTTTAGGTTTGTTAGTGAACATGACTTTCTTCTTTGTGTCTCCATCAGATACTGACTTATGTCCTACATCTGCAGTCCTTACTTCCCTTCTATGCAATGAAACATGCAGCCATCCCCTTTTGTCTGTCCTTCCCTCTGCACAACCCTGTTCCCTGCTTTCACTGGTGTGCATTCAAGCCTGAGATTTTCTGGCTTTCACAGATTCTGTAGTCCCTCTAGATCCCCCTCATTTAGTTGTATTATCATTAGCAACCATTTCTCAAACACCCTGATGAAGTCTTGCTGGTTTTCATTGTCCCCTCTATAAGGTTAGAGCTTAGTCTAATGCTAACTTTCATCACCATCACCTAACTCACCGTGTGGCCCTGATACCATTGCCTTCTGCATTTAAGTTTTCACTTTGGGATCTTGTTGCCTTGCATCCCAATTCTTGTAGAATAACTTCACCTAAGAAAGGCTAAGAAAGGAAACTATTGCACTGTTCTGAATTAATAACAGAGAAAAAGGCAAAGTCTTAATCTTTCCAGTGCAGAAGATGTGTGCATTGTTTGTTGTTGAATAGCCCTTGGGGAGGGAGAGATTTCAAGTTCAACATTTACGTGGCACATTTTTCAATTAGACAATCTACTGTATGGCATTTCCCTTCCTCCCCCACCCCGTCTCTTTTATTACCACATGACTTCATCTCCCCATGTGACTGACAGAGCCCATCGGGCTCAACACTGATAAAAAACATCTGGGGGAGAAAAATTGCAATTTAGAAAACAATTAAGTACATCAATTTCAATTCATTTAGTTGGCCAGAGAAAGAAAAGTTCTTTCAAAGAGGTAATTTGAGCCACAGTGGTCATGGATTAAAGGGCACCAGATCTGTTTTCTCCAGGTTGTAGTGTGGAGGAAAGCATCTCAGTTTAGAGCTCGAAACACAGACATGAACTCCTATTTGCAATTTTCAACAAAGAATAAACTACTGACAGTTTCCTGAACCTTCTCATTTTTAAGACTATCTTTCACTACTCTTCCCAAATTCCCAAGAACTTAAGAGCTTCCTTGAAGGATGTGTATTTCTCTCTCTTAAATGCTCATCACTAGTTTGTTGTGGAAGTTCCGTAAGTGAACCTTGGTTTACTGTTAAACACCCTATCTAAAGGGTGTGTGTGTATGTATGTGTGTGTGTGTGACTTTCAATTCCACTTTTTCTCACTAGCTCTGTGAGCATTCATGGGATGGGCTATTACTTTAGGGTGAATAAAAATTTTATGAATTGTGATGTAAATTTTCATTCAAAAATTCTTAAATAAAATTTAACACCAAAAAGTTTGACTCTGGATGCCTCCTTTCATCCCAGAAACAAATATCTATGTAAAAATTACAAGGACTCCTCTCATTTATTGAGAACCTTCTATAATCACTGTAATTCACATTATGACCATAATATATAATTTACCTGCCATATCAGTCCCTTAAAGTAGTTATTATTTTATAGATGAGAAATTATAGATGATCCTATTTTAAGACATTAAGATTCTTCCCCACAAAAGGAAGAAAGACTTAAACCTTTCTTGAATTCATATTTTAAGTTCACATACAGAAAATCAACAACCTAGGAAATAAACTGTGAAAGGTAGGATCCAATGACTCTCTAAATTTAAAGTCTCTACTCACACTTATTTAAGAGATTATCTATAAAACTACCAGTTAGTGCCTGGTCCAAAGTAGTTCCTCAATAAATGATAGCTATTATTACTTTATAAGCCATTTGTACTTACGCCCCTCCCCTTTCCCTCAATTTCCTTCAAACTTCATAATATAGATTAGATCATCAAGAATACTACTGAGATTTTATCACAGACTCCAACATAAAATCATCACCTAGGTGGTCTAAAGACCTTAAAATAAGATTCAAAAAATAGTAGCTATCAGGAAATCTCATTCCAGGAAGGGACCGACAGATGAAAAGGGTCCTAAAAGGAAACTTTGCTCATTTTCTATTAAAGTGTGCTCTGGAAACCAGCTTTAAACATACCCGTTTTTCACAGCATGTGTTTCATTTTGCCTACTGTAGACAGGGAATGCAATTACAATAATATCATGAAGCCATATGGAAGTGTGGGGTTCAGGCATACTCATTTTGTAATGAGCCAGAGTTGACTGACAGGATCACTCAACAAGTGGACCACATTGGCACAAGAAGGGTTAGAGGCTAGGAAACAAAGAGTAAATCTGATGTTAGTGAATGGATAGTAAAGAGGAGAGGATGGGTGGATTAGATGGCATTTGAAAAGCAGAAGGAGACGAAAGAGGAGCCGCTGGTAGGAGGGTTGGCTGAAACAATGAGCCTCAAGGGTACTGAAATTCAAGGGTTTAGGCTCCTGGCTATAGAATCCAGTGGTGATCTTGCAGCTCTGGAAAACTGGAAAATCACTAGGGTGAGTTTACTTGGCTTAATTGCAAAGATTGTGGGGTTAAAAAAAAAATACCTCCCAGTAGCCTAATGGATAAGGCATTGACCTCCTAAAACAAAAAATATATCTGATTCTAGTTGCTAAGTACATGGGACCATGGAGAATCTTTGCTATAGTTGATGGGGAGAGCATTTGAACTGCAATGTTTGAAATACAGCTGCCAGAGGAGGTCTCTTAGTAGGATTTGGTGAAATGAGAAGAAATCAGGATGACTTGCTTGCTAAAGGTGAACAATTACGAAGGAGCCAAAAGACATGGTGAAATGTGTCTAAAGATTACAGAAATCCCCTACCCCCACCCACTCCACCATGAGTTCAAAATCAAGTCTTTTGTTTGATTTCTTGATGATAATAGGAACAGGACTTCACCTTCTCCTGGGTCAAATATGCTTACTGAGGAAGTTGTTCCCAATACGTTGGTTTCAATTTTTGTGTTATTTTTTTGTGTTGGTCTGTCTTGGTTCAGTTTTTAACCTCCCCAGGTCAACTCAGGACAATAAGGCAATTCAAATTTAAAGGTATTGCTGGACCTATCAGAACTATTTGTCTTCCTTGACTTTAAGAGTCAGCCAGAAAATGTTGCAAAATAAGACTTCCAGTCTCCCTGGCCTCCGTCTGTGCCAAGAATACCCCACGACTGCCCTGTGAGAGGAACAGCCTTTCAGATCATCAGGAAACCCTGGAGTTTGCTAATAAAAAGAAAATGATTTTCCATACAAAGTAAACAGATCTCTTCTGCACATCTAAAAGCTCTTGGCTTCAGATGCGGGTGAAGGTTTAGGGTGGAGTTTTAATTTTCACATTACAGAAGCTCATTTGGAGTTTGAATTTTCATGTTATTCTTCAAAGCACAACAGAACCCCCTGTCAGGAGATATCCCGCAACTGCATTCTTGTAACAGTTGTAAACTAGCCTGCCTCTCCTTTTTTCTCTTGAATTTGAAATTGTTTTCAGGGACCCAGCAGAAACAGTTTAGGAACCAGGCTGAGGTTTGGAGGATCTGTCCCCTTACCTAGAATTATTTTTGTGGAATTTAGCCTTCTGTAGTTTTTCCTCCAAACTGAAGCCTGTCCATTGCTATCAACAAATCATGAGGCAGATTCTGAAGTGCTTTGTCATTGCACAGCTGAGCAGATTTGCACAATAAAATTTTCCATATGAATTAAAAGAGAGAGAACACTTTTTCCCAACATCATCTTTTTATTTATAAAACACTCCTGAGTTTATTGGCAGAAAGGCACAATCTCATGTAACATACAGGGTGGTCCATTTAAACCAGTCCCCTTTAACTCAGGATAATTTTAAGTGTGGCCCATTGTAATTGGGTCACCAGATGTACTGTTATGTCAGTACTTCCTGACCTTGCAAAAATAGGCAAGTCTTTCAGGGATTGGGGGTGCATGTGGAAATGTAGGGAAGCTGGTTGAGCTTTCAAACAGTGAAAATAAAGGAATTCAGGAGGAAGGCTGATAAATGGAAAATAAATCCAGTCTAACAAATTGGAAAGTTGTTCCGTTTTAGTGCTAGTATCTGTTTTTGCAGGTAAGGGCTTTGGATTGTTGTTTTTTTGTTTGAGATCAGGCTATTTTTTTCATTTGTTTACTTTCCCAATGATTCTACTTCATTTATTCATTCAATAAATATTTATTGATCTTCTGCTCTGTGACAGCACTTGGGTGAATGCCAGGGACATGATAACATAAAAGCAGAATCAATGCCTTCCAGAGGCTATATTTTAGAGCAATACTCAGATATATCCATGGTGCATTGCTGATATAATGTCAGATACTGGCAGTCCTTTGGAGAAAAATATACGTATAACATAAACGCAGAATCAATGCCTTTCAGAGGCTATATTTTAGAGCAATACTCAGATATATCCATGGTGCATTGCTGATATAATGTCAAATACTGGCAGTCCTTTGGAGAAAAATATACTAAATTAGGAGGAATGGGAAGAATAGAGGAAAGCCTCTTTAATAAAGTAACTTCATAGCAGAGACCTGAAAGAAATGAAAATTGAATCCATGGGTATAGAAGGCAGTGGAAACAGCAAATGCAAAGGCCCAGAGACAAGCATGTGCTTTGTCACTGCAGGAACAGCAAGGTTCTCAGAGTTCAGCCAGCTGGCCTTGTGTTTCCAGTTTTACTCAAGACTTCCAAAAATTAAAGGTAAGGCATGCCATTAAGGTGAAATAAAACTTGGGTTACTGTTACTTAACAAAAACTAGAAATTAAGGTCAAGATCACAATGGACCTATTTCGAATGTCTCTGTGCAACTAATCACAAAGGGAGGTCTACGGGGCAGTGGGGGAGGCAAATGTTGCCCACTAAACCTAATAGAGACAACCACTTTTAACTTGAAGACTAAGCAAGTATTTGGTGGCCATTTCAGACTGTATAATTATTCTGTTGGCTTTAGTGTGAAGCTTGGTATTATCAATAGCGCTATCATGTTAAACTGAAACAAAGATTCTGTATTCTAAACAGTTTTCTATTAAGGACAGAAAAAAAAGACATTTTATTCAGTGTTGTCTCTTTTTCCTTCCTTCCTCTTTTTCCTTTCCTTCCCTAACATGACTCGCTGGTCTCTCCTGACCTGGAGAGGAGAGGGTGTCGCATCTCAACTACTAGATGTGAAGGGCTGGACCAATTGTCCTAAGGCTGAAATGAGAGGTTTTGCTGCAAGGATCGCTTGCCTTTCTCCAAACATTAGACCTCAATAATGGAATGATTCTTCCAACTGCTCTTTCACTTATGTCTTCAAGATCTTTTTCTGGTATTGTCCACTTGTTGTTCACATATTCTGTGGATAGTACTTCAGTTTGGGATTTATGAGCTGAATCCTACTCCCAAAGTCTGAACTCTCTCTCTCTCTTTTTTTTTAAGATTTTGTTTGTTTTATACAAGAACTAGGGTACAGGCCAGAAGTGCAGGAGGGTGAGAGAATTCACCAGAGCCAGAGCAGGGAGCAGAACAGGCAGATGGACCAAAGATACTGCTGAGGGGAGCAGCGGGCGAGGCAAGAGAGGTCTGCTGCTCCTGAACTCTCTTATTACCTCCCTAATCAAGTCAAACAAAAACAGAGAAGCAGAGAAACATCAGCTGGAAATTATTCATTGATTCATCCAACCCTTATTGAGCAATTGCTACATTTATTGAAAAATCATCATACCTAAGTGTTGAACATGAAATCATGAACCATCTTGATCTGATTTGTGTGTGGTATAGGTGAACATGCAGAAAGAAGGAAGTTTCTTCCCTTTCAAAATTTACCTTCCTTCCCTGATTTCTATGGAGAGCCCTATTCAGGGAGTCCTCATTTCATAAACCACCCCTGAGTGGAATAGCAGAGAACCCAAGATTTATTGACCAAGGAGGCTATTCTTCCTAGATTCTGAAATAAAATTAGATCTTCTCCTCCTACATTATTCTCTTTCTCACATGTTTGTTTCATGGCATTTGCCACAATAAAATTATAGTTTATTGGAGTACACATTTATTTAAAGTTTCTCCTTCCTGGGCCTCCCCGGTGGCACAACAGGTGGGATGCAGTGATGTGAAGCTGTCTGCAGTCTCTGCCACATGAGTTCGATCCCTGCTGGCCAGCGAGATACACACATGGCATGGCAGACCTCTCCTGTCTCACCCACAGCTCCCTTCAGCAGTGTATATCAGTAGATCTGCCTGTTCTGCTCCCCACTCTGTCTCTGGTGAATCCTCTCACCCTCCTGCATCTCTGGCCTGTACCCCAGCTATTGTATAAATAAAAAATAAATTAAAATAAATAAAATATCAAATCTTAAAAAAAAAGCTTGTCCTTCCCCAAACCAAAAGTTATTTAAATAATTTGCTTCCTGTTGTTTCCCGGTGCTTAACTTAATACATGGCCTATATAAGGTACTAAATAAATATAGGTCAGGTTAGGATGAGTGAGTAGTTAAGTGAATCAAGTCCTCTTGTTCATTCAGAGAGTTTAAGGAATGACCTCAAAAATTAGAACCAATGTTCTATGTACTTCTCTAAAGGAGGAATCATGATACTCATATTTCAGATTAAAAGTAATCCATCATCATTTCCTTGGTAAATTAGACTTTAAATACGCCAATATGTGCACTAAGTACCTTGGCCTCACCTTTACTCCTGGTCATCGGGTGACTTGAGAATCATATACAAAACCTCAGATGAGGGCTCGAGTTCAGAGTATTCATCTTTCCTTAGCCAAGTCTAATATTCTTTCAGACAATGTGGGCTCCCTGTTCCTTAAAACATTTCTACTGGAATCAGTTCTTGTGACTCCAGAATCTGCACACATTCCAGAGAGAGCTAGGGTTTCTCATTAATCTCTGTCTAGGCCCTGTGCTCAGATTAGCCACCACTGAAATGTAATCCCAGTGATGGGGAATGAGGAGTCTGGCCCATGTAAACTTCAGCTGTTGAACTGCTACCTCTGAGACTAGTTGTCCCTGATTTCTCAACTCTCCCAGCATGGCACCTGGACTGAAGGGAGCCATTTACTGTGTTTTCATAACTGAAAGGTGTTCTTCATTCATAACTTGACATCTCTGTCCACACTTGGCACCAACAAGGGACAGTTCCTAGAGGAGAGAAAGAGAATGTGCTTGGGTTTTATTTAGCAGTGAAGAGACTTTTCTCAGAATAAAAATAAAAGAACAGGGTCTAGTTAGAAACTTTGTCATCAGTTTGTCTTATTTTATATTTTGAATTGGTGTTTCTTAGAACTTCATACTGTGGGGGTTAATGACTGAGGTGAGAAAGGTTATACTTATGAAATAGCAACAAATATAAGCTATTAAAATTTAATTAAAAAAATTCTGAGTCAGCTATTGGGTTGGAATCTTTCTAAAGTCAATTCTACCTCTAAGATTCAAGATTACTAGGATTCCTTCTGAGACAGGTGTCACATAGACATGAGAGAATTTGTTGAGATGAATTCTAAGCTTGGAAAATGAATTCACTCTAGAGAGTAATAATTTTACCACTGGAATTATTTGTACTATAGCACTTATCTTGAACAAATATGTAAAATTATTTGCGTGTCTGTGTGCACAAACGTATAGACAAGGGGCTCATAACTTTCATCAAATCTTAACATCTAAAAATAAGGAAGATCAAATTTTCTATAGGATTTCTTGAGATACAGTATATAAACCAAAGAATGCTATAAAGTGCAAGCATCTGTGTGGTTGTTAATAGCCATGTATATTTTCTATAAACAAACATACACAAATTAAAATAATTACAATGATACAATTTTTGAAATACCCTAAAATTAGGTAAATGGTTTGTAAATATCCGAAAAAAAAGATAAAAACTTATTAATGCCTCCTTAGTAAAGATTTAGAAGAGTGTTCTAATAATAAACTATAATAATAAATACGAGTTGATAAATCTTCTGAGAAGAAGTAGAAAGAGCAAAAGATCAAGAAATAAGTTATAGTCCAAGATTTTGCCACCAGAAAGTCAAGATGGACAATCATCTTGTATAGTGAGTGTTTGCTTGGAGACTTCATTTGAAAACCCAGGGCCTGGTTACTCTGGATTAGCTTTTTCTATAAAAGTCTAAATCTCCAAACCAGAGGTTTGATGGCAGTGAAACCATCTGAGCAGCTGGGTCCAGTCCTCTTTGTGTGGTCATTCCCCTTAAAAATAACCTGAAGTGTCTTCTGGAATTATAAGTGGATGGGACAAGGATTTCGTGGGAAATTCACTGAGATGTACTAAATTGAGTTTCTGAAGCTCTACTTGTTAACCCGCTTACAAGTTTTCTTCATATAGAATCAAATAGCTGAATCCATCTGAGACTGAAAATAGAGTCCCAGAAACCCATAATTACAGTAAACATAATCTTTTAGTAGTCCCCAGACATCATCATCTCTAGAAATTATTTTGAAGCAGACGTTGATGTCAAGCAGCCTGGGCTCCAAATTGTGCTCAGTTCTTTAACCAATCACATGAACTTGGATTGTTTTCCTTAAACCTCTAAGGTACAATGTCCTTATTTCTTTTACTCATTCCTTCCCACAGAAAGAGCAGTGACGTCTCCCTCAAAGAGCAGGAATTGTCTTCCCTCTTATTCTTATTTTACTGTGAAAAGAAAGCACAGAGCCTGGAAACCCTTTCCTCACCATCCTCCATTCTCCCTGGATCTGGGAGATTGCAGATCTGTCTCAGCAAATATTAATCCTTCAGACTTTAGTCTTTCCTAATTGGGTGGGGGGGGGTGTGCAATACAATGGGCAGGTGGGAGCAATCAAATCCCAAAATCTAAGCTTGTGGGGTAGAGGGGCAGGGAAGGGAAGAATCTAATTTAGGTTATAGATTCAAGTTATATTCTCCAGCCTTGCTTTACACATGATAAATATTTGATCCTTGATTCCTGAGTCTATTTCTAAATTGACTAGACCATTTAGAGAAGGGATTTCAATTGGTCCCTCAGAATCCTCACCAGTTTTGAAGATACTTTAAATAATATTGACTTTCATGAAAGAAAGACATATCTATCAATACATAATAAGGTGTACTTATGAAGACTGTTGCACAATTGCCTATTAAAAGATATGCAATCTACCATATTTTCCCAATAATATTCAAACACACAAATTAAAATTTCTATCTTACAAGCAAAACCATAAAATCCTCCTCATATCCTCCCCTTTCTAATACTGTCTTATTCATTTGCAAGTTTATTGCCCTTGTTAGCAAAACTCCTTGAAAGAGTTGACTACATTTATACTCTATATTCTCCTCTCAGACTCACCTATAACGGACCTGTCCAGTTTTCACTCCTATTTACTGATGAAACTGCATTAGCCAATTCTCAGGTGTATTCTTACTTGACTTATTAGAAAGTTTTGACATAGTCAAATCTCTCTGTCCTCATTGATAAACTTTCTTCACTTGGCTTACAGAACACCCCATTCTTAGTTAACGTTATTAAACACTCCTTATTCTCTTTTATTGTTTTTCCCTCTTCTTCACAGACTCTTAATGTTTAAGGGTTACTGTAGCCATCCTTTGTTCTTGTCTCAATCTTTCACTCATTATTTTAGTAATCTCATCCAGAGTCACAACTCTAAACTTGGTTAATTTTCCACTTCCAGCCCGAAGTTGCTCCTGAACCTCAGATTTGCATATTCAGATGTGTCCT